AGTGGACTGACTGGTCTCTGTGGACTCACTGGTCTCTGTGGACTCACTGGTCTAAGTGGACTCATTGGTCTCTGTGAACTCACTGGTCTCAGTGGACTGACTGGTCTCTGTGGACTCACTGGTCTCGGTGGACTCACTGGTCTCGGTGGACTCACTGGTCTCGGTGGACGGCTGCTCCTCTTTGGTGGAGTCCCTCAGGTTTTCATATTCCTTCTGCATCTTGGCGGTCTCAGATTTGGTGTTGTCCTCCTCGTCTGTGGTTCTCCCTAAGAGAAAGAAACCGTTAAGAAGTGAACCCTGAGACACGTGAAGGTTCATGTCACCAGGTGAAAGGAGACTCCCTGTTGGAAAGTACAGACTTGTTTTCAGGTTAGACTTTAAAAGACTACCTTCAAGTCCAGGTCCAGAGACTTCAGGAAGTCCGAGGGCCTTGCCCAGCTTGTTCCTGGTCTGCATGGCGATCATGGCGTCCAGGTTCTCTGCAGGTGGATGAACCAGAACCAACATTTATTTTGGGTTTCAGAGGATGATGAAGATGAAGCTCAGAGTGACTCAGAGGTTTTTTTTAATCCTGACTGATGATCAACAACTTCTCTCATTTAATTATTAAAAACAGGAACATTTTAGCTGAGATTCAATCAATCTGTAATAACTGTGGTTATAACAATTGTAATACTGTTGTTATAACTGTTGTAATAACTGTGGTTATAACAACTGTAATACCTGCTGTCATAACTTGTAATACTGTTGTAAGAACTGCTGTTATAACTGTTGTAATAAATGCTGTTATAACTGTTGTCATAACTGTGGTTATAACAGTTGTAATAACTGCTGTTATAACTTATGATACTGTTGTTTTAACTGTTGTAATAACCATTGTAATATCTGCTGTTGTAACTGTTGTAATAACTGCTGTTATAACTGTTGTATTAGCTGCTGTTATAATTGTTGTAATAACTGTTGTAATAACTGCTGTTATAACTGTTGTAATAACTGCTGTTATAACTGTTGTACTAGCTGCTGTTATAATTGTTGTAATAACTGTTGTAATAACTGCTGTTGTAACTGTTGTAATAACTGTTTAACTGTTTTTAAGTGTTCATATAACAACAGTTATAACAGTTATAACAAGAGTTATTACCACAGTTATAACAACAGTTATAATAACAGTATATGTTACTAACTGTTGCAATAACTGTAGTTATAACAGTTGTAATAACTGCTGTTATAACTTGTAATACTGTTGTATTGACTTTTTTAATAACTGTTGTTTTAACTGTTAAGTGTTGATATAACAGTAGTTAAAACATTTATAACAAGAGTTATTACTACACTTATAACAACAGTTATAATAACAGTATATCCTATCGGTATAATTGCTATAATAACTGCTGTAATAACTGCTGTTATAACTGCTGTAATACCTCTTGTTTTAACTGTTATAACTGCTGTTGTTATGATTATTGTTTAACTAATGTTATAACAGCAGTTATAACAGTTATAATAATATATCCTACTTATTACTGTTGTTATAGCTGCTGTTTTCTCTGCTTGTCTGTTGCTGAACATGTGTTTTGGTGGCATTTTGTTTTTTAATCCTCAGGTTGTTGTGGGAGTGTTTCGGGGTTAGATAATCTGCTGCTGAAGAGGGATTATAAACCCAGGAGCCACACAGAGATCACATGACCTGACTCGACAACAAGTCCTCTCTGAGGTAAAAACACTCTGTTCAAAATCAAATAAAAATAAAAGAAGCAGATATTCTGAGGAGAAACATCAGCTCCTCTTTTAGTTTTTATAAAAAATGGTTTTATCTGCTCAAATAATAAATGTTTTTAAATAATTATTATTTTTTATTCAAGCATCTCTTCAGCTGAATGAGTCTGAATTCAGCAGCTAAATATTTAATCCACTCATCATTACTGCCTGATATTCAGTTAAATAATCATTATTTGATGATTGAACTGATAAAACCTGTAAAAACATTTATTTAAATCTGTGAACATGTTGCTGCTGAAGGTTCCAGAAGGTCTTTTAACTTCCTGTTAGTGATCATGACTGACTGCAGCTGGTACAGACTGAGAGAACAACCAGGACTGAGAGGACCAGTTGGAAGCTCCAGAACCTTCAGACGGGACTGAAACCTGCAGATGTCCTCATGAAGAGACACATGTCTTCAGACGAGACAAAGACTGAGACAAAAAAGGACATTTGGAGGAGTCCAGGTGAGACCTTCAGACTCTGAACATTTGGCTTGTTTATAAATCAGAAGAACATCAGAACATGTGTTTATCTGCTGTGTTCTCCTGTTATCTAATCATCCCTGGTGTTTTCTGTGAATACACCGCTCCTCCTCCTCCTCCTCCTCCTCCTCCTCCTCAGGCTCAGTGTTTGTTCTTCTCCTGCCCACACACTTTCTTCCACTACGTTTACTTCATCATCAGCTGATCTACAGACAGATGATTGACAGCTCTGCAGACTCACTGCACCATCCTGTCCAGGTGTGTGTGTGTGTGTGTGTGTGTGTGTGTGTGTGTGTGTGTGTGTGTGTGTGTGTGTGTGTGTGTGTGTGTGTGTGTATGTATGTCAGGGTGTTGTGTGGGGGGGCTCTTCATTATCTCCTCACAACCACAATCAAGTGGACCCAGATGAGTTGCCATGGAAACATGTTGTTTAAAACATGTTTGTAGCAGCAGCTGTATGAAGGCCAATTGTCGGCTGAAGGAGAGCTAATGATCAGCTGAAGAACAGCTGAAGGACAGATGAAGAACAGCTGAAGAACAGCTGAAGAAAAGCTGAAGGACAGATGAAGAACAGCTGAAGAACAGCTGATGAAAAGCTGAAGGACAGCTGAAGAACAGCTGAAAAACAGCTAAAGAACAGCTAAAGAACAGCTGAAGAACAGCTAAAGAACAGATGAAGAACAGCTGAAGAACAGCTGAAGAAAAGCTGAAGGACAGATGAAGAACAGCTAAAGAACAGCTGAAAAACAGCTAAAGGACAACTGAAGATCAGATGAAGAACAGCTGAAAATCAGATGAAGAACAGCCGAAGAACAGCCGAAGAACAGATGAAGAACAGCTGAAGGACAGCTGAAGGACAGCTGAAGGACAGCTGAAGGACAGCTGAAGAACAGCTGAAGAACAGCTGAAGGACAGCTGAAGGACAGCTGAAGAACAGCTGAAGGACAGCTGAAGAACAGCTGAAGGACAGCTGAAGGACAGCTGAAGAACAGCTGAAGGACAGCTGAAGAACAGCTGAAGAACAGCCGAAGGACAGCTGAAGAACAGCTGAAGGACAGCTGAAGAACAGCTGAAGGAAAGCTGAAGGACAGATGAAGGACAGATGAAGAACAGCTGAAGAACAGCTGAAGAACAGCCGAAGGACAGCTGAAGAACAGCTGAAGG